CCCAAAGGCAGCTACTCAGCTGCTTGTGGTAGATCCCACCATGGAGTTGATTGCCAGTCTCATCATGGGGAATAACTACCACCAGCTGCCCAGGCACTCAACCAGGCCCAGGCAAGTTGATACACAAACATAACTACCCCACTAAATTACATGACTGCCAGATATTTTGAAAAAGAATCTATTACACAAATGCATTTGTGAGATTTGGATGGGGAGCAAAGAGTGAGGGAAAAAACAAATGAACAAAAAAAATGAATTGCAGTTCAGTACTATTTCTTGTTTGCTTACTTCTAAGTAGGGCCATATCCAGTGGAAAAGGGTTAAAGTTTTCTGACCCATGTAACATTTGTAAATCTCAGGCTTAGACAGATTGCTTTCAGGATAGTCTGAACTGCAGAGTATAATTTTCCAAGATTGCTTGCCTTTGGGCCAACTGTTTTCAGGAATTGAGGACTGTCATCTAATCTCTACATTGTCCTCACCTCACTTTCCTACTTCTCATTCCCTCTGTCTTGTCATAAATTTAAATCCATAACAGAAAACTCTCTGACCACTAGAGAGGAGCTCTGGTAGCCTAGTGTAAAGACATTTGACTGCTAACCCAGAAGGCTGGTGGTCCAAAGTCACCAGCCACGCCTCGGAAGAAAGATTGGGCAATCTACTTCCTTAGTGCTGTTGCCTCGGAAACCCAAGGGGAGGTCACTATGAACCAGATCTGACTCGATGACAGTGAGTTTGGTTTTTTGGTTTGGTAACCACTAGAATGAGCTCTGGTGGCATAGTGGTTAAAGCATTTGGCTGCTTACCAAAAGGTTGTCAATTCAAACACACCAGCTACTCTTTGGGATAAAGATGAGGCTGTTTGCTTGTATAACAGTTGCAGCTTTGGAAACCCTGTGGGCAGACTAACAGTAGTAGTGGTAGTCAGAATCTACTTGAAGGCAGTAGGTTTTAACCATTGGAAGGTAGAGTTGTCTCACCTTCAGATTAACCCAACGACAATGTTTTCTTTTTCTTTTACTTTGTTCTGGTGGTCTGACTCTGACTCTCTCAAACTCAAGAAACTATTTTGATATAGAACAGTTTTGTAGGAATATATTTACTTCGAGTTTTCTTTTGGTGGTGGTGGTTTTGCTTTTCAAAGATAAAGCTATCAGTGCTTTCTTACCTGAAAAACTTCCTAGTCTAGGTGCAGTCATATCACCGCCATCGTAAATCTCAAGAGAGTCCCAGTTCTGTTCCGTGGCAAAGCTGATGACTTGAATCTATCAACCAATAACATTAAGTTAATGCTTGTTTTTGGTTTAAAGAAATGTGCCCAATCACATGAGCTTTTCAAGAAATTAAAACAATATATTATGTATATTTATATGTATATATACACACTTACCCACAAACATACATGTGTGACAAAGAAAAGACAAACCCAAAGAGAAAATAAACTGAAAAAAGACATTCAAAAATATCCTTAAATGGAAATATATAAAATATCCCTAAATGGTACTTTGATGCTATTTTTATTATAAAAATCGCATCTTTTTTATTCCAAATACAGGACTATTTTGGATATCTGTGTTAAGAAAAAAAAAAAAAAAAGATTATAGTTGGCATAATTTAACGTAACCAATACAAAAAGGAAAAAAGAAAGAAAGAAACATGAATTCTAACTAATCTCTGCTTATTTATAGAAGATGGACTTTATGGACTTACCTGAATCCCCGATCCCTCTGTAACTATGATTTTCCATATACAGTTTAAGTTGTTACCATACGGTTCAGGGTAACCAGGGGATAGGATCGTACCTCTCCGCTGAGTGAAATTGCCACTGCAGGGAACTAAAAGCCAAAAAACACATTTAATAAAAAACAGCATACATTGAAGAAGTATTAATTTAGTTTTCTTTTGGTTTATGATCAAGTTTTAGAGAAAACACATACTACGTTACTCTTATTGACATTTTTCAGCCAAGTTAAAATTTAATCTGTTTTTTTTTTTTAAAAGGTAATACTACTGATTATTGTCTAGTTCTATGCTCCAAAATGATAGACCCTGACTATATACATAAAAAATCAAAACCAAACTTACTGCCATAGAGTCGATTCTGACTCATAGCAACCCCCTTTGGCTTTCTGAGGCAGTAAATCGTTATGGAAGTAGATTGCCCAGTCTTCCTTCCATGGAGTGGCTGGTGGGTTTGAATCACCAACCTTCTGGTTAACAGTCAAGTGCCTTAGGCACTACGCTACCAGAGCTCCCTTGACTCTCTCTCTCTATATATATATGTATATAGAAGCCCTGTATATTATATATATTATATCTATAATATATATGGGAACTCTGGTAGCATAGTGGCTAAGACACTTGCCTGCTAACCAGACGGCTGGCGGTTCAAACCCACCAGCCACTCCTCGGAAGGATGGTTGGGCAATCCTACTTCCGTAGTGATACTGCCTCGGAAACCCAAGGAGGGGTCGCTATGAGTCGGGTTTGACTCGATGGCACATAACAACAACATAATATATATATTACACACACACACACACATATATATAGTCAGTCTATAGTTTTTTTTATATATATATATATATGTATATATAAATCTTTTCAAGTTCTCTAAGATGGGACAATACATAACAATTCTATCTTTGAAACTACTGCTTAGAATAATTTATCTAATACAATTTAAGTAGTTTTGAAGAGTATTCTCTTTTATATGCAGATATGAAATCCCAAGTGATGTTAATGGGATTTATAAGCAAGTCCAGAAAGGGGAAGAAATCCTTAAAGATGCTTAAAATGTACAAAAAAATTCAAGTGCTAATCATGATTGCAGGAGATGTCCTTACACAAACTGAAGCAAATAAACTATAACTAATAATGCCATTGTTATTCCTTCTGCATTAACCTGTTATTTTTCAAACATTTATCAGCATAAATTTATTAAAACACATTACTCAAGTAATATAGCAAATCAACCTTATACTGATTTTCACCAAAATGAAATTATGTTGTATATTCATGGCTTCAGAGCTGATGACATACTTAATAAATATTGAAAAGCTGTTTTATACTTGTTAATCTGATGAGTTGTTTTATAAAACTTAATGTAGTTTAGGATTTGGCTGTTATACAATTACTTTTGATAAAATAAATTAATCTTTAAATTGGTCATGACCATGATCCATTGATGTAGACACAATTGATACTCTGAAAAGCAGCTCGCTAAAATCGTTCCTCCTACTTTCTGATTCATATACTCATGCAAGATACCACACCTTACCAATACACGCTTACCTACACAGCTTGGTATGGTGTCATTCCACTGAGCTAGAGCATTGGGCACAGACTGACAGCGGATAGCTGTGGACCCTTGAAGTAGGTATCCTGGGTTACATTCAAACCGAACAATTGAACCTGCTGAAAATTCAGATCCAATTCTCCTTCCATATCTGGGCTCTGGAACAGAGCTGCACTGGGTATCACTGGTACGAGGAACAGCTAAAGACAAAACACACACAATGCAACTATATTCACATTCATCAAGAACCCAAATAATTCCTTTGAAAATAGGTGATCCTGAATCCAGTGAGAATTTATATTTATATTATTATAGAAACTGATAGTACCCTAAAATATCTATGAGGATGATTTTTTGAAACAGTTCCACACTTATACTTCCTCCTCATATCAACCCCAAAGATTACCTGAATGATCTTTTTTTTTAGATGAGAAAACCAGGGCAAAACTAGAATTAGTGCCTTAAGAGGACTGATTGATATTTAGGAAGTTAAAATTAATTGAGCAGTCATGTCATCTTGCTAGTGATAATGAGATGAAGAAGAACTTGTCCTTATCATCAAGAACCTTAGAGTGTAGTAAGAAAAAGTGATGCATAAATGCTTAGTTATAATATAGAAATTGTGATGTAATGATAAATGCATTTTACTGCTAACCAGATGGCTGCCAGTTCAAACCCATCAGCCACTCCTCGGAAGGAAGATTGGACAATCTACTTCCCTAGAGATACTGCCTCAGAAAACCAAGGAGAGTTCACTATGAATCAGATGTGACTCAATGGCAATGGGTTTGATTTTTTTGGGTCTGGTACTATGATAAAACAGAGGATTATTATTTATTCTAAATGGTGTGGTAGTGAATCTTAGAAAAATTGAAGTTCTACTATATCTGAATGGGGTGGCTTAAGACTTAAAATTCCATTTTAAATAAAGATTTTCATTTCTGCTCTTGTAAAGAAAGCCAGTCAGCCTTTTTCCTTGTCAAGGTGTTTCTGTTCAAATAACAAAGAAGAAAAGAAACAGAATCTCTAACCTGAGGAAAATTTGTTTACCTGCTATCTTAATTGTTATTTGAATCATCAGGTGAATTTTTCTGAGTACTTACCACTTCCCCTTAGCCAGGTAAACAACATTTTACATTTAAAAGACTTCAGATTGGATTTGATTCAACTTTCTCTTCTCAAATAAATGAATCAGTTTTACCATTTCAACTAGAATTGACATGATCTACACAACCAATCACAAAACCTGAACATCACACAAATATATCTTAGACAAATTTACCAGGAGATAAGGAATTAATGTTTGACTAAGGATTATATTAAAAAAATGTGTGATTTGACAACTCCTGGAAAATTTTCCTCCTTTCCCCTGAACTTTTCTCGTTGATGAGAAATCATTTCCCTTTGTTTACTTTACCAAACTAGCTGTTTCTATTACAAGGCAGGGACCTCTAGTGTCCTCTCTTTAAGTGCCTTTTCCTCCATCTCATGAAAAGCAGTTATTCCTTCAACAAAATCTTTTCTTATTTTCTAACAAAGTGTTAGTCTAGTATTTCCACTAAGATAGTAGAAAGGCTTGGGAGAGAAATATCAAAATAATTACTTTGGATCCCAACAGCCTAGTGATAAAAACCAAGCCTTTTTGGGTGGTAGGAGAGAAGTTGTGAGTATGAGAGTGGGATTGGGGCGCTTCCTGAGGTAACCAATCTGGCAGTGAGAAGATAAGCATTTCAAAAAGACTGTGGAATACTACAATTGTATGCATGGGACAATAAAATAAATAAACAAATAAACAAATAAAGAGCACCAAAGAACAAAGTTTAATAAAATATACTAGATGATGAGGCTATCATTCTACCTAAGAAAGAAAACTAATAAATAAATAAATAAGCCTGTGACATCTGTCAACTGCTGCTGCTTGGCACTAAGAGCTAGGCTATGATGTTCTCCAATTGAACACAAACAACCTCACAGAACATCAATATTATGAATTAAATTGTGTCCCTAAAAATATATGTTGTAACTTCTAACCTCTATACCTATGATTATGATTCCATCTGGGAATGGGTTTGCTTTGTAATGTTAATTAGGCAATATTAGTGTATGGTGTATCTTAAGTCTCTCTCTTTTGAGATATAAAAGAGACTAAGCAGACGAGGGAGAAAGCAGAGATAGGGGATGGTTAGAGGCCTCACCACATGAAGATTCAAGCCTTTCTCCCAGAGTTTGCAGAGAAAGAAAGCTTGCCCTGGTGGTGGCAACCTGAATTCAGATTTCTCTTGTTATTTGCCATCGAGTCAGGCCGGACTCATAGCGACTCTTCCTGGGGTTTCCGAGGTGGTATCACTAAGGAAGTAGATTGTCCAACCTTCTCTCCGAGGAATGGCTGGTGGGTTTGAACTGCCAGCCTTCTGGTTAGCAGTCAAGTGCCATAGGCACTACGCTACCAGAGCTCAGATTTCTAGCTTCCTAAAACGTGAGAAAATAAATTTCTGTTTGCTAAGTTCAATCTCTTGTAGTATGTCTGTTATAGGAGTACTGGATAACTAAGACAACCAAGAGGAGATGAGGCCATTCTCAATCCATTCTGAATTCATGTCTGATCACACACAATATCAAGAATTTTATACAGCCTCCCCGAAAACATGAAAATATCACCCTCTCCCAGTTATCATGTGTGATGGCTTCTTTTTTACTAATTTAGCTTAGCTCTGCTTAGTTGCTTCTACCTCCTGGAATAAAGTTAAAATGTCCAATAATATAATTTCCCCTTCAACTAAATACACAGTATAACTACGCTGCCTTTACTTCTCTCCCAAATCCCCTAAAACAAGCCAAAACCAATGCAAGTTCCTTCTCACACTTTCTTAATCATACATCTAAGGCTTTTCCATGGTCTTCCTTATTGCTACAAGTAATAAATACCACTTGGTTTGATTACATATCTTATGGTCTTTGAATTGGGGATTGACAGGGGATGCTCAATGCAATGTAGGGGGCAAAAAAGATGTCTACTTAGGGAGTATATCTGAATTCACAGACTATATCAGATTTTTTATGTTTAGTGAACGGGAAATGGGATAAAGTGTGAAAAACACTTCAATTGGTAAAGAGTTATATCAGACAAAACACAAATCTACAAGGTTGCACTTTGAAATTTGTGTATGTTTTTGCTCTTCTCAATCAAAACTCAGTATTTATTTAAAATAATACTATCTCCAGGCTCCCATTCTTCTTAGTCCTTGTATTTCTTCATTCAAAAACACAGCCCTTTGAGAGATTTTGTTCATGTGCTCATTATCATTAAAAATAATCCTTCTGTATTCACATTGCTCTTCTTAACACACTGGCATCATTTCTTGAATTCAAACTGAACAATGACAGACGCTATTTGGTTAATTGCTGCTAAGGAGGCAATTCCATGAGAATGGAGTTCAGAAGATGATTTTGATTAAACTACATTTCAATTCAGTATTGCAAATATTTTCTAGCAAAAAGCAAAAGCTAATAAAATATTATACTATAAAATACCTGGTGGAAAAGAAAATAATGATGTATCAAAATTGGTTTTGTTCAGTAACTAAAAATGGAATACAACATAAATATAACATCCCCTTATGATAAAATACTGTGTAAAGTTATATTTGTCATATTTGTACATCTGAGTATTTTGTTCCTATTTAATAGTACTATGAGAGGAAAAAAAAAAAAAACTGTTGGAAACATCCGCAATCAATCCTCAAAGATATTGTACAAAACTGGAGACATATCTCATGGCAATTTTTCTTTGTGAGTGAGGTTACTTGATGAATATGTGCTAGTTGTGGCAGTTGTCATGCTTGTCTAAGTGACTTCAAACATAACTACACACTCATTTGTACATTTCCAGGGTGTCACTGTCATTTTGAGTTCCAGAGGATGAAGAACAGGACATCAAGTGTCATTTGGACATATCCCTCTATTAAAACGTTCTTTGTGAACTTTATGCTTAGCTGTTTTCAAGGAAAATAACAAATGAATAATACCTGCAGTTGATTGTTATTAGGGCCATGGTTTTTTAGAGGAAAAAGATTGGAAATTGAAGGGATAGACTAATTTTAAGTTTGTCAGAAAGTGGGATAGAGGAAAGCTATGAAACTGAGACATCAAACCTCCATGCAATGGCTTGAATAAATAATAAAACAATGTTTTATAACATTATCCTCTAGTCAATCTTCCAGTTCTTCCCTTAACCTGGATGATTCAGGCAACATCAGAGAGGAATTCTATTTTCTGTAATAATTATTCTCTGTCTTTTAGTAAAAGTGAACAGAGAATAAGGTCAGCCTGGAATAAAAGGTAATAAATAAAATGATTCACTTTTCAGGCCAGATTATTATGTTGGTTCAAAGACTGGACACTATGTCTGGGGCTGAAGGAGGGTGGTGCTGTGATTGTACACACATTTTCAGAAGAAAGGAAAAGAAAATAATGTGTGGGATTTATTAATCATCTTTCACTACCACATAACTCTAAATCACAGATATTCATATAAGTCTTTTTTTGTACCTCTTTTAGGATCGATGTAGTAAAACTGTAATAATAAAATTTGAAAGCAAGTAGAAATAACTTGCAATATCTATGTGAGACAGTCTTCCCTGTTTCATTTAGTGACTGAGGAGCATTTTCTATTTCTCAAAATCACTCTTCTCTAGTAGTTGAGAAATTGATTCAACAAACCATTACTAGGTAATTAATTTAAATATATACCACTGAATTACCAACAAAACTTTATGCCCAATTTTCTTTGTAAAAAGTATGCATTTATAAGCTGTTGATAGAAAATGTTTCTGAGAAGTGGGGAATAAACAACTAAACCTTATAATTTATGTCATCTAAAAGCAGATGAAGCCTGGGGAAAATCAACAATAACGTGTATTTGCATGCCTAGGAAAGACTTCAAGCAAAGAAAGTCTTTGCATGAATTCTTCCTATCAAACTTAGAAAATGCATCTCCATGTTTCTAACTCTATTTTCAAGAATACCTTTCAATTTCCTGTATTAACATTGATGTGAAGGAGAGTGAATCTTGCCAATAGGAAAATTCTAGGATCGAAAACATGACCTAATGAACTTTGGACACTGGGCAACTGGGAACCTGGGAGGCAGAAGAGAGCTTAGATTAGAGTTAACCCAGTAAAAGTGACTAGGAAAGACAGTG